TCCGAAATGCGTTTCTAATGCAATGCATTATGCATAGCACATATAAAATTTGTAAAAGTCTTCGAACACTGATAATGTTATTTACAGGTCCATGTCTCTGACTATTTATTAGTGAATTTTTGTTGATTGTACTGATTTCAGATATTTTAGTGATGATTGATAATTTCCTTTTTTCCTTTTTTCATTATTTATTGTTATAATGTCCAAGTAATAAGCTTTCGTGTTCTTCAATTTTCGTAAGCACGCACAAATTTAGTTTGCTTTGATTCTTCACGTGTACTCTATATGTACATATATGTATTTATAAAACACATTGTAATCGCGTAATTTGTCGATCGAAAGTTCTACAACAGCAAACTTTTCCAAGAACGTGGAAAACCGCTGCGCTGTGCCGACTTGCGTTGCGGTAATCAAAGCGAAATCGGAATACCGAAGATACGATGAGTAATCATCGTGGAGACGGGAATTTATGCTAAGCGGAACAGTTTCGACGCTAATCAGAGCGTTGCTATGTAGTTGTCCGTGTTTTTTCTTCGTGTTTTTCGTTCACTTCTTTCCCGATCCTTCTGTCGGTTTACTTTCTTTCTCACTTCTTAATTTCGATCTGAAAGTACTATCTCGAAAACCAGAGGAGATACATAAAAACTTCTAATGGACGAGGTTTGCGGTTTTTTATGTAGAATAATATGATGCTAACAAATTGTCCAAAATATAATTTGTTTATAACAAAAAAATTTCGAAACGAAACTTTGAGGGGTGGTTTCACCCTTTAAAGTCACGTCTCAGCCGATAAAAAAAATACGTATCCCTTATTTTTGACTGCTTAACAGACATACGAAGTTTCATGAAAATCGAAAGGGGACACTTCCGTGCCTTCCCATGTGAGACGAGTGGTTTATAGTTAAGGGTTAAGGGGCTATGCTAGTGTCACGGCTATATAATAAGGCAATTTTTTGGAATTTTTTAAAGAAAAACTGTTGAACTTATTAATTTGAATAATATTTATAAAGTAAGAACAATGTATTTTTTACAAATTACAGTTCGTTTGTGAGAGCGACTTAACGAAATTTCCTTTCCACGGTGGCCATAGTAGACCCTTGTGGTTGTGTGAAATAAAAAAAAACAAATTTAATTTGTATGTGTGTGGCTATAACCCGTACCAGAATAATTTAAAAAATTTGAGAAATAAAAAAATGGCGCTTTCCCAAACAAAAAGTTAAATTTATTTGCATAAAAATGGCTGGTTTTTTAACCCGCCAATTTGTAATTTTGAATATAAGTACGGATTAGAATGACACATCTGATGAACAAATATGCCAAATTTGAACATAAATCGGTCAATTAGTTTTTAAATTATCATGGCCGCCGATTAATAAACCTAAAAACAGTTGATACAATACGCATCAGACGCTAGAGTCATAGGCTGATCTTCATCCCGTTCATTTACCCGCAAGCCCCTCTCTTGCATCTTATTTGGCGCAATCCCCGTGATATCGAGCGAAACACTATAATCCTGTTGCGCAGGTCCGAGGAACACGCCGAGGAGTATCGCGGCTAGACGCGACGCGAGGCGACGCTGCACGGTGGCGGTCTCGCTCATTCCACAGATCGCCTCGCGCCGGTTACATGGCGATCCAGACAGTGATCGTCGCGAAACTGTCTGCCTTTTGAATATTCGCGTCGTCACGTGTCGTCTCCGAACACTTTCTCCCGATTTTCCCAGCAATCACACGCAGGACTCTGTTTAATCTTCGGGGGGATGCGATTGGTACGCATCATTTGGACACTGCATTGCGCAAACTGCACCGTGGAGTTGAATGCATTATTTCAATCTGTGCCGCACGTCCGCGTTTTCAATCCACGTTTTCGATCCACGTTTTGTGTCTCGTCAAACTAGTTCGAAACAAGGGTTAACCTACCCCCTCTCGCGAACCGCTAGAGGTTCGTTAATTAGCCTGGTAGATGGATATAGGATTTTCGATAACAAAGAATTGAAGTTTTAACCGATGATGATACTTGAGACCGTGGTAACCGAACTTATCAACTTTCCACTGATATCCCGATTGTAGTATTTTTTTTTTGTATTTTTCAGTTGTTTACATTTTTATAGAATGTGCCATGTGATTTCGATCGATTTGTTATCAAGTTAGTTCCTCGAACTGGTGTTTACATATGTCCGTACTTCTACATATTCGTTAAAACAACTGATTGACAATATTGTTGATATTAAATACCAGTTATATGCGTGTCTGTTTAAATTATTACATGTAAATAAAACAGGTTAAAGAATAATATTTTCGAGACCTAATTCGTTATGAGTACCTTGATTAAAATAGATTCAGGCGCTGCTATTTGAGAATTAACCTTAAGAATTAGACAGACTAACAAGCCTAAACCATTTCAAAGGAATTATTTATTGCCATATGCGTGTTCAAGATTGATGTTCGAAAATCGAATTCGGTCTGCTGAGCATCTTACAAAAAAAGACTCACTCAACGAAACTAAAAGTATATTCAACATATTGGTGAAATTTTTGCAGTGAAAGTGAAACAGGACTCTATTTAATACGGAGTACGTACTTTAATCCTTTCGACCGGGTGTCCATGCACTGTACAGGTGCACGCGGCGTCGCTACCGGTACCACATCGTTCCGCCAGTGTTTACGTTCCTCTGTTTACATTCTGTTTACAAGTTTGTCCAATAAGACACATCAATCAAGTGTAACATAGTTGTTTTGATGTAATTGATACGTATTTGATGGAGTTTTTTTGACAAATTTAACACATTTCTATACATATGCTGACAAGACACCTATGAAATAAGGAGGCTTCCCAAAATTAGGAGTGAAAGGTGGGGAAGGGGGAGCAATTTACAATTGAGAATAATTGAATTGAACCATGCATGATAGGGGGTGTGACAGTAAAGTTTCAGGGACAATTTAAAAATAAACAGATGTAAAGTCATCGCCTTCAACGTTGTCCCCTTGAAACTGTAGGTACACATGCGTTCCAGCGTCGGATCCATTGATCGTAACATTTCTGGCATTCACTTTCTGATATCTGTTTTAATACCCGCGTTGCATTACGAGGCGTGACAGCAAAGTTTCAAGAATAATTTTATTTCCGTCAAAGTAACTGCTTATATTGTTGCCACTTTAATGGAGACGAAATATTTGTCGAAACTTTATTGTCACACTCTGTAATATAACGCGAATATTGAAACAGATACCGCTATGGTTTTTTAGAGAAATTTTGTCATTATTTACTGGCAATTTGCTTGAAAATTGCATACAACTGGTTAACAGTGTATATCGAGCGCAACGTTAAAACTATAAACGAATTATAAATAATTATCACTCTTTTATTTAGCACTTCTTGCAGCACCGAGCAAAGATGCACGTAATACTTTATTAAGTTCGATTAAGTTCGATGAAAAACAGAAAGTAACACATTATCGTCCATGTTTATTCCAAGTAGGAACAATTAGTAACACATCGGCACATTACCAACTCTATTTAAAAAAGACGATACTCGACGAATTTTGTAAAATTCACGGTACCACTGGTTTGGTGATACACTGTGTAACACAGTTGTTCTTTCAAATACACAGATTACCCAAAAGCACCAGCTGGTAGTAAATTAAATGATCTAAGAACTAGTTGTCAGTGAATGGCGTTAATGTCAGTCAGGATGCAATGCCTTGGAATTACCCGATGCAGTTAGTTGATTATAATGGCATCGTCGATGTTGTCGACATCGGGGGCATCGAAGGGTGCGAAAAGACGGACAGTTTTGTCCGCACGACCTGGGGTCATTAATGACAGTGTAAACGTAGAAACTGTGAATGAACTCGTTACGAGTGTGAACGGTAAGGAGGCCCGAGACTCGGGCTTGTCCTCCGACAGTTCGACACCGACAGCGGGATCACCTGTGCCGAGGCAACGTAAAACTAGCAGCAATCCAATTAATATCGTTCATTCTTCCTCCATACCTCGGGCCATCGTTCATACCACAAGGTATTTTCATTACTGTAGCACAGGCATGTTCAACACGTTCCTCGCACGAACTGTTTCCGGTTAGAGAAAGACAGAGACCGACCAATGACAAGGAGTACATCTTGCACTGACGCAGTGTTTGGTACACGCGAACTATCGAAACGTAAGTTTGGCATACATAGATGAAGATATGTTTTGATAACGAACCGACAAATCGGTGCAAACTAATGTACAAACGCTTCCAAAGGTCAGCGTTTCAACCAAATGAAATCGTTTGCAAAGTTGTACCCTCGCGGGCAAACTCGGTTTATGTTAGGGGAAAAAGTGACATAGGAGAAGGGCCTTCTACTACTTGGTAAAGTTATTTCAAGTACTGAAATAAATGTTAAGTCGAATGTTAATTTGGCATAAATTTAAATAATTCCCAAAAAGTGGCGTAGGGAAAAGGTCTTCTACCATTTGAATTCGGAAGTTTCTGAAATTTATGCCAAATTACCGTGCATTTTAACATTTATTTCAGTACTTGAAATAAATTTACCAAATGGTAGGATATGAATCCTACGTCACTTTTTCTCCTAGTGGAAGTCGAGGAAGCTGAGTTTGCTCGTGAGTGTACCTACAACCCTATAATACACTGCCTCGATAACCGAACACCATGATTTTATGGGATCAATGCTGTATTCAGACTACGAATGTCCACAGAAATGTGCATTTTTATAGAATAAAACAATTCTAGAATCTAGAATAGTATCTGGAATAATGAAAGTTTATACAATGTGCATTATCTCTTCTGTACTGTTATATGACTTTTGCTCTTAGTACTGTCCACGAGGTATGATTATTCTTATTCGCGAAGAGCGCAGTTGGACGTGTCTGGTTTAGAACGATAAGCGACTATTTTCACACACGTACAAAACCAATTGAATAGACCGTCATTTCAAATCGCAGACCAATAAAATTATTGATCGAAACGTCAAAAACGAGGTTATTTTGCTTTTTATTCCAGGCACGAATGTGATAAAACGAATAAGATATGGCGGAGTAGGTCTGTAACTGATTCGCCACGTTTTGGAGACGGCACGCGAAACCGTCAGTTCTCGAGTCCTTTAAGAACGTCAAGAAACGTAAGTAAATTGTAGATTTGTCAACTATTGTAAATAGAACATATGATGTAAAGATGCAGAATATATTCTGTTTCCTATACAAATATATCGTTCTAATTCGAGTCAATTTTGTTCAGGTCCAGTCGCCAATTATCGACAATATAAATGAGCCTGATACTCGAATCGATGGAGATATGTATACAGACATGTTTCAAGACATTGTTTCTATAAAAACAATGCTCCTGAAATTGCGACGACTGCTTCAGGAGGTACATTGATTAATCAGACATTTCTAAGTTTCCCTAAGCATACCCTGTTCGTAATTAAATGTTTCGTTTGTTATAAAACACCTTTTCTTTGTTCATGTCACACAAATATTAACAGTTATTAACACGCTGTTTTGTTTATTTTTTTCATTATTATCACCAACCATGATTTAACATTCAAGTCAGAAGAGAACGGTTTGACGAGGGTACGTTATACTTTTGTTTTCTTAGTATACTCATTTTTATGTTGCATTGCACTGTTAACATCTGTGGCCTACATTGAATAACACTTAATGTGCTCTGTTGCATCCACAGGTTGAAACTCTCACCCCATTCGATAATAATGTAAAGGTAGCTATTTTAATTATCTTCTAAAAAATATAAATAAAATGAAATTAAAGGTGGAAGGATGAGTAAAACTCGATGCAAAGTTCACTCTAATCATATGTATCAAATATTACAGAATGGTCTCTTCTACAATCTGAATGAAGGGAATACAACGGATGTTAGTACTTCCCCAGGAAGCGGAGACAGCAGTATCGCGGACGAATTGGCCGATTTACGCAGGCAGGTTGTCTTCTTACAAGGCCAAGTGGAAGACAAAGACCGAACTATACAATTACTACAGGTAAATTGAATGATTCCAACACATTACTGTTAAACTGATAGTGAAGATTTTATTAATTTATAACACGTATACTTGCCTGAAAACCACTTCTGGTACACACATTCTTTTCGTACACTTTGCATAACTTTTTACAAGTTAGCGTCGCGTTTTTTCCTTTTCTGGAATAAAATAGCAAAATATACCGAAAATGCTCGTTTTGGATGTCCATCTTTAAAATTATACGAAAATTATAAAACAAACCCAATCTTCAAACTTTTTAGTTTAAATATACGATAAAATGTCAGCTATCGAATAACTATGAGCTTTCAGGATTTTAACTGAAGTTAGTTGCGTTTCCGAGTGCCTGAAGACAACTATCGCCAAAAACCGCACGAATTTTTTAATCAATTTTCTGCTTTACAGTTTCAAATGTCAAAGCTTCAAGGACCTAACAGCGTCAGAAGACAAAATTGTACTTCCACGGACAATTGTAATGCTGCGACACAAACTGACAAGGTGCCTTTATAATTTAATATTTCGTAACTACTATATTCCTTAGTAAGAGAAACTTAATAAACAGAGAGTTATCTTTGAATGTTCTCCTTTCATCTTGCTATTTACCTTTGTTTTGAAAATGTTTTGAATAATCATCACAAAGTTATTATTGGTTTTCGCTTCCTGGCAAAACTACACACGTAAAACAACACCAATCAGTTACTGCACTAGTGATTAAATTATTGAAAGCAATATTACTATAGTTTATTTAACGAGTTGGCTCAGTGTAAACAAACTTAACAAACATAATATCCGCGTGCTAAGCACTCGATAGATGGTCTCTCTATTTCTCTTTCTCAAGACTGTGAAGCCAACCCTCTCCCACCAAAATGGTCATCGCATGCGTTTGTTTACAGCTAATGACTCAACTCGTTGAATGTACAATATGTAGTTACTTCACTCAATACTCCATAGTTTTACCCATCATACATGTACACATAATTGTCAATCTACTATAATTTTGTATTATTTTATTACTCGTCCCACGTTATTTATTTATAATCTTTTTAATTATGGGCACAGACACGCCCAGGGTCAGCAGGGTCACTCCTACAAACACTACCTAGGGACGGTGTTATGGGGCCTCTAGTTAGGTGAGACTTTTCATTTGATCTCACTTCTACACTCTGTTGAATTGTATAATTTTATTTTCGATACTGAGAACGAAAAAACAGCGTTACTATTGTTTTAGAAAAAGTCTTGGAAGATATTTTTATGTTAATTCATTTGAAATAGTAATGTATCTTATCGACAGTGGAAACTATGTTCTTAATAATATTTAATTGCAACTAATCGCTAGTATTATTATTTGTAACAGTACAAAGAGTTTACATACTTGATATCGCTTTTAACGAATCTTAACGGTACATAAAAAATATTTTCTGTTCATTTCATCGTAAATACTTGTCACGAATAACTTGTTGTTTTTGCTGCTCTGGTCATTTACCTTTCTTCGGTGATTCCATGCGAAACAGCTTCAGGATCGGGAAGGTAGAGTCCGTCAGTGTGTGTGATTTAATATTGGGATACTTACTCCTTTCTGCATTAAATGCTCTCATATTCATGCATCTTTTCTATATCAAGATCACTTATTTCATTATTCAATACTAATGCTTCTGATTCCTTTTGCATGCTAGATCAATCTTTTTCTCTATGTATTTTTCTTTTCGCTAATTGGTTTAATCATTTTTACTACTTAAAGAACGTATGTAATAGTAAGACATTATTCTGATAGAAAATTCAGCAATATAACAATCTGCTGTTACACTCGGGATTTGTGATCGAATCTTACAACGTTAACTACTACTTTAGTGATTATTGTATAAGATGCCACGAAACTTCATCGTACATCGTTCTTCGTACAATTTTGAATTACTACAGCTTACTACGTCATTATATGTAAAATGATTAAATATTAACAATGTATTAAATGTATTAATATGTTCCTTTTACCATAGACAACAAATGTAATTACACAAATATAGAATCTTATGTAATCGCTTAAAAAAGAAGTAATACATTTGTATACAGGATTTATAACTAAAATATTTTTATTTAATTGCAAATCTTAGCAAAAATATATTAACTGATAAGACTTCGTGTTTTACATGTTTAAGATGCAACTTTAATTAATTGAATAATATACATACTCTGTATACATTAAAATGCCGAATTTGCTTCAAAAGTGTTTCCGTGGAATTCTAATTTTCTTAGCACATGATTTTCCTAGCATGTAGTATGAATAGATAAATCTGTATGATCGGTTAAAAATATAAAGTAAATAGTTTCTTTTCCTGAATTATCGTTTTGAGAGTATAATGGATTTACAATTTACAATATTTCATGCTGCCTTTGATAGCCATGTACGGTAAGTTCATTGCTTATATGTTGTTTCAAGTCTTTAGAAACTGTATGGATTAGTCTTTTTTTAATATCAGAAACATTTTCATACCAACCACCCACTAATAAGAAATTAATTACGAGGGTGCAAAATGTGTCTCGGATACTGTTGGTGCTAGGCCAAAAATGTAAATTGCAAAATTGTATGCTTTTGAACAACGAATCCGTCTACGTAAATAATTTTTAAAAAATATATTGGAAATTCACACATTTTTGTAGATTATTCTTATAAGGTGTACTCCATTTTTGCACAAATTTGTATGTGTAAACTATAGATCATGATACAACGGACGGATACATTGGGTGGTCCCTCGTTAGATTTAAGAGTAATGTTAATGTAAAAACAGGTGGTTATGGCCACTACGAAGCACATTAATGCATGAATAGATTTTAATTCATAAAAATTTCCCAAATACGTTGCCTATCTTAAATTGTACAGTAGAAATTGTGAAATTCCATATTTCAATAAATAATGCATCCGTTTCATATGTTAGAAATGTTTTCAATTTGATTTGTAGCTGGAGTGACTCGTGGAACCGGTTGGACTGATTTCTCAACAATTGGATTTGGACACCCGCAACTAGCAGGCGCTATGAGTAGAAGACGCTATTAAGGTGCCCAACTGAAATCCACCAATTACAACCTTATAGGCAATAGACGACTTTTTAGTAGCGACAAAACACATTTACATCAGGGATACGTAATAGCGGCTGTCAGTGTTACGCACACGACATCCTGAGATAATCCCTACTCTCATATAACTATTTACTCTTGCCGTTGCTCTCGGACAACAGAAGACGCTTGCTTGTCTCGCAAGGAGAGGGCCCCGACATTGGATCGCCGGTTTTAAAATAAAAACTTTGATTCTTTTGGTTGCATTTTTACAGTTGTTATTATTATTACTACTAATTATTCTTATCTGTTCACTGAGAATTTTTCCGAATTCGTAAAATTAACGAAGGGACAGTACACAGCCGCAAGCGTGCAACATAAATAGTAACATTTTAAATTTGATATTATTTTAATCGAAAAAAAAAAGTTTGAAACAATCACTTTTTTGAAAAGAAAACCTTGTTATTTGTGTTTCAAATAAACAAAATGGCCGAAAACGTGTCAACCAGTAGGTCTTGGTTTTCAGTGAAAACCTTCGGATAAAAGGTACAAATAAAAGATGAAAATGTCATCGACGCTAGGAGTAAAACACACCGAATAAAAAAAGTATCTTTTATTCGTCGGATAATTCTCGTCGAATAAATTTATTCAATCGACGCTCGTCGAATAAAAATACTTTTTTTATTCAAGCTTCGAATAACGAATAAAGATAAAGTGTCTTTTATTCGAACAGTTATTTAAATAATTTTTTATCTAGGTAATGCCCATCTCTGGTTTTCAGTGTTTTCACCATGATCACTTACTCTCAAGAATCTCAAGTTACGGTTTTGTAACCGTTTTATACAATTTTTCACTTGTCTATAAAAATAGAGGTCGTACGGTTTGGACGAGAAAAGTATATTTTGGTTGTATTATTTTTAAAGTAGACGTTGAGAAAGAAACGTTCATGTGGTAACCCAGTTTTTATATAGTGTGCTAAATGCAAATTATTAATTTATATCGAATGTTTTTATAACAAGTAGCATCACAAAACTTGTATGAATAAATTAGGTACATACTGCTTATAAAGAAATTATTTTATGTACTAAAATGTATATGTCGATTTTTAAATGTTATCAATAAACGCAAGAAAGTGAGAAGAGGATCCTTGTATGGGACATATTTGAACATTATTATGGTAGAACGATGAAGGTTGCTTGCACGCTATGTCTGCAAATAGTCGGTCAATATAACTCCTATGTAAGTCACATTAACAACTTCAAAGCAAGTAACTTATAAATATTCGAGTAACTGACCTGACTATAATGGAAAGAGGGGGTGATTTGTGACGAGAGAGAGAGAGAGGGGGGGGGGAGAAGCCTATTACATGTTAAAATTTCATTAAAATCATTGTACCAAAATTGGGGCCCTCTTGTTATCAGACTGTAGCGACTGCGTGTGCGGTTAAGGTGCGCCACCGTCGCGTTAGGTTTAAGGATCCGATTACATGATATGTAGCCGCGAATTGCGAGTCCAACTTTAGTTAAGAAATACAGTAAAGTCTTGATAAAGGTTCGAAACTCAAGACCACTTGCGAATATTTATAGGAGTTTAGAAACCTGCGTATCGGTATGACAACACTAATGTAAAGATGAAAGTTTTTCGATTAAAATGATATCAAGCACGATATTATTAGAATCATATTAATTTCTTTCATGTTAACTTAATTACTTTCATCATCGCTTTTGATAAATCAAAAATGCTCCAAAGTATATCGTGTGTGGTCTCATTTTAATCAGAAAAACCTCACTATTATTTGGATAAAATTATCATTAACAAAGAACCAAAAATAAAAAAAATTTCATTACTCGCTTGACTAGTTTCAAGGAGAACCTGCCCAATATTGAGATAACACGGAAGACTTTAACGTGGGACTGTTTCCGAGCATTTATCAAGAATTCGCTGTAGCGTTATCTGGAATGACGCGTTCAAACTATCGAATTTTCCGTTGATTTTCCGATTTACAGAGTTTCCAAATTCTTCTTATTCCTTCGTAGAGTGCGGATGATTGCTGATTGTGTGTATTCATTGTGACACTTAGTTTTGTATGGCATTAGTTCGAATTATTTGGTTAAATACTTTTGTATTTTATTCCTGTATACATCATTGTAAATATTTGTATATATTACATTATTAACTCAAATGCAAACAGACTTATTATTATTATAGGATTAATCAGATATAATTTGAACACACCTAACCAGTGACGTCGGAAGACCCGTAGTCCAGACGTAGTATATTCATACAGTGAGCTACCTGCCTCGCTGCTTACACGGAGGGACACGATCTGGGCGGCTGCTTTTTTAACAACGCCATCTTGTATGTCTATTTTCCACCCTCCCAGGCCTGGCCAACATGTTGTTGGTAAAGACGAAACGGTCTTTACCGTCAGTCAGACCGTCCCCCCACTACTCAGTGTAATGTGCGAAGCTACGAGATGGCGTGTGGACGACAAAGCTGCAAGAAAATACGACACCTTAAAAAGCCTATGATTTTAGCGACCTCTACGTTTTGAGAACGGTGAATCTGCGGTGGGTAGTGACACTAAAATGGAAATGGGGTACGTAACCTCAGAAAACTGGGCCGCAAAAATATATTGGATGAAATGTTTACTCCTATATCTCATCTGTGCTCTGTCATAACGTACGCACAAACTGCTTCTTTGTCCTAAAATTTAAATCATACGTAGCGATCTCAAGACAGATGCGCGGTGGCTATGGAGAGGGAACACTCCCCTACGACAGAAGTGAGTAGGCCGGATAGGGGAGGGGCACAGAGTGGCTCACGAGCCACCCCCCTACACCCTGCGAGTGCTGATCAGTATATCCGGAATACCATGAATCGAAATCCGTTTTCCAACGACGATTATAACCCCACGATATCAGACAGATATCGCCGGGTTAGTCGCAAACCGTTCTTATGGCCGGGAAAGAAACGCCTACGCTGGATAGTTCTTATTCTTTTTCTTTGAACACGCGTTCGCGGTACGCGACAGACCAGCGTTAAAAATGCTACCCACTCTATTGCCACGTTATCTAGATGAATACGAGATCAAGATTCTTCCACTAAAAGCAAATTGAGGAGGCTCACCCAACAGACTACAGTTGTTGCCTTGTAACCTTGCTACCGTTCTTCTCTCGCTCGATCGGAATCCACGCCATTGCCTCGCTCGCCACATTTCGACTCGTGCTCATTCACTACCACGCACGCAATCGTTAGTTTCGACCAACGTAACTCAAGTGAATTTTCGCGTTTTCGCGACTACTGATAGGACACCAAGCCGGATTCAAACTGATTCAAACCGATCAAGTCAGATGACGTCACGGGGTCTCGGCGCCGGACGTTGGTATCTAGTCCTTATGAACTTCCGGCGACTGACGCTACGTGCTGCGATTGGATCCAACGCTACATACGGTGGAAACTCGATCGGCAGACTCGCGCTCTGATTGGTCGGGATTTTTCGTTTTTGCTAAGGAAAAAGTTATAGCCTGTGTAACCGTGTTACACGATTAAAGTGAGTATATAGAATAGTGTATTTTTTGAAACCTCTGTTTTTTGTATATATATATATATAACATGGCAATATATATAACACGGCAATTTTTAGGAACCTACCACTACCATGTTGTACGGAGGTTACTTATACATACATTTATATAAGCTCACGTTAAGGTTGACTACACTAACGGAAATCTTTTATTAAAAATTTCGTATTTTCATTCCTAATTATTTATTTTTAATATTATAACGTTTATATTTTTATTACGTTCATACATTTACATTTTAATGTGTTATACCATATTAAATACCATTAAAGGAGCAATCATATTAAAGATAAGAGGCTTAACATGTCTTGAACTATTTTATGGTCTATTTCTGAATATGAGACGAGTGTTGCTTATTAGAGATAAGTAATAATGAAAATGAAATCAAACTCTAGTAATAAAAAGATGTAGTGTATTTAGTTTTCTATTATTTGTAGTCAAAGATAATACAGTGTAGATGACTTGTTTCCACTTCAAAGATGTACATTTTTTTTACAGAGTATTAAAATGATATTAAAGAAAAAAGGTGATGATTGGAATGGACGAGTTATATGATAAAGACAGCAACAGTTGTATGCAACAGCTAAATAAAAATGGAGAGATATTACAGTATCTAGTCAAACGATGAACACAGTTGTCCACAATTAGCTATGATGATCTTCTTTGAAGTTTTGCCACTCTCTGATCCCATTGCCTCCAGCTGAAATAAGAAGTGTAGTCATTTTACTGTAAAAGTACGATTAAACAATAAAAAAATTCAAGAAAATATTGCATACCTTTTTAACAACATCCATTCCTTCAATAACTCTTCCAAATACAACATGCTTGCCATCGAGCCAGCTTGTCTTGTTGATGGTAATGAAGAATTGACTACCATTAGTGTGAGGACCAGCATTTGCCATAGATAGAATACCAGGTTCGGTATGCTTCAAAAGGAAGTTTTCGTCGTCAAATTTTCCACCATAAATGGATTTTCCACCAGTGCCATTATGATTAGTAAAATCGCCACCCTGACACATGAAATTTGGGATCACCCTGTGGAAAGTGCTTCCTTTGTAGCCAAAACCACATTCACCAGTACAAAGTGCTCGGAAGTTTTCTGCAGTCCTTGGAACCACATCTTTTCTTAACTGAAAATAATATTAATAATTTGAAATAATTACTACTTCATTTTATTCACAAAGTTCAGTTAATCAATCTGTGATACCTAATGAAGAAATTGTTACAGATTTCATAATTCGTATGAATTATTTATCTCTACTTTTACTGATAATAAATTATAAATACTTTATTAATAAAATCTAGTAACCTTGTGAAACAGATCATGCAGTACTAATATTTTCACTGAAGTAAATAAATTTTCTATTTATATATCATTATATATGTATACATTATTAATAACTTAACAGAAATGATTGAAAGTTTAATAATGAATTTTCTACCAGGTTAATTTATCTAACTTATGACAAAGAACATAGTCACATTATGTACATGATTCATTATTTGAAGTATTATTATTTTATATTTACATTTCACTTGGGTTTTAGAGGCAAAGTCTGTTGACAAAATGATACAGCAAATTGACAGCAAATTAGCAGCAAGTCTTGCAACACAACCCAGACTAACTAACCTAGGCCATGTTGCATGACTTGCTGTTAATCTACTGCCAATCTCCATACAAGTTGTTGATAGCAGATCTTGTATCAAAGTTGTAGCTATGTTGAATACGTAACATTATACCAGGCATTGGACAAAATTTGGCTTTGCAGGTTTAACTGAGTGAATACAAATTAAGGTAAACCAACTTACAAAATAATTAATTGTAATATAAGAAACTGTTAATCAAACAAGGTAATACTTTACTTGGATAATAATTTTTAAAACACATTATTCAAATAAAACACACTTGTAAATATCTATATAAATCTCTAGTTTACAACATTGTTTTATTGGAACTCTTTCGCCTTTTTGTTTTCACTCTTTTTTTTCAAATCTAGTAGAAAATAAGTATATACAAATATATTATTTTTATTTACAATGATATACCGAACTATTATAAAGACAAACGTGGAAAAAGCGTACAGTAATTGTTAATTCTGTATTTACACCTATCGACGATGCGTAATAAAACGTGTCAATGGCAGTGGAAAATTTTATGATTCATGAAAAAATCAAACGGGTCGATTAAAATAGTATATACATGTCATAGTAATTTTCTACGAGGGCCTATTAAGTTATAAAAAGTAAAAACTATACTCTGCTGGTAAAATAAAAATTTCCATCGAAAATAACGTGCAAACTCAGTAGTTTTCTAGGAATACAAACGGAAGTCTCGTAACCGGCTTCCAAGGAAATTCAAGATGGCCAGCCATGCCGGAGTTCTAACGACTATGTAATGAAGAAGTGAAAAACAGCTTAATTGGTGAATAGTTTCACTTACCTCCATCACGATCCGACCCACAGGCTTATCATTGGATTTCATATCAAAGAAGACCAGTGGCAAAGACGTCATTTTGGCAGAAACAGCTAACGTTCGTGCGAGCAAAGTAAAAGACGATCGTCCCGGTCGGGCGGTGGCTACCAAATGGCTCAAATGGCTGAAGGTCGAATCAATTGGCAGTCGACTGACCAGTTTCAACGCCATGTTCCAATGTTCTTGCTATGAAATCAATTTGAATCGACGCAATCTTACTTTCTACACATGTAATATAATCTCTATTTACTGTTTTGAATTATTAAATGTTATTTTCCGAGATTATTATATAACATATAGTGATTTTCAGTTTTGTATCGAGTGTATTGAATGGATAAACGTGCTTCCTCTTTTCGACCAATCGCGTTTCACCTTTGAGGTCGCCTAACGGAAAGAATTTTATTGGACATACAAGAAACAAATTCGCTCAAAGTAGAACCAAGAAGCTAGATGAAATATTTAAACTCTTTAATCCATGAATTTATTTTGTATAGTAAGAATTTTTTACTTTTCTGTTACAAATACTTCCCAAAGATTCCTAGAATTTATGCGATTTTGAAATACATTTATATAGGCTCACCTTAAGCTTGACTACAAGAACGGCCTTTTTATGAAAATAAATCTTTTTATTTCCATTTCTAATTACATATTACTTATTTTCAATTGTGTAACGTTTGTTACAGAAAAAATTAAAGAATTTTGAAATTTAATTTGCAACATAGTACATCTACACGAATTTCATTTTCATTCATAGTACTGTAAACGTGTAATTATATGCAATTCATTTGACATAACCAAAGGACGTTATGTCATGCATTGCCTTGGCTCGTGTTAATCTTGCCAGTGATGATTGCGGACCAATCGCCAATCACAATTCTGCTCAATTTCATTCCGCTTCGCACCGGATATGACGTTCCCATCTCCATCGCAACGGCGCAATTAAATGATTGAACAAAATGTAAAATATTCAAGTTTTACTTCAACATAATTGTTAGTTGAATTATATTTAAACAATTAAGCAACATACCTGATCTTTATATAAGCTTGTAGTTTTAAAACAAACTTGTTCAGAAATGCAGAATGCATAATGAATGTTATTGTCAGACAGAGCTATCTAATTCAAATTATGTAATTAGTACACATTTATTTTGTTGGACGAAAAAATATGTCTTACAATATATTAGGAAAGTACATCTTATTCAGAGTTGATTCCGAATATATCATGTGGCTATGGTTAATCTAAAGATTAAATTTATTAGGTTCAGTTATAAGTAACATTTATTTTCCCTAATTAACTTTTTTTACGTATTAAATACTTTATAAATCAATATTAATCTACTACATATTCTCAATCATGATTAATCTTAATAATTGTTTTTAAATACCGTATTATTATTGTTATTATATTGTATTGAGTCATTATTTTATTATTTTCCAGTGTCTTTGGCGAATACAAGTTCTGATTCAATTCAATATTAAGGGTTTATATTAAATTACATTTTAATTAAATATATTCTAGAGTTATTTCAATATTATCCGTAGTGCTAGTAAAGTAAATGAAAATAATTTTTCTTTCTGTAAATCTAAAAAGATGAAATGTTTCGGAGAGAGCACTTTGTTCAGACTCTTCAGAATTTAAAATTTAATTCACTTCCTGCGTAGAACTGCATTTGATTTCAGCAGTTACGACTGAAAAGATGGCGCCCGAACGAAGGACGCTCAATTAAGTGTGTGCAAGACCTTGTTAAATTTGTATTCTTAATAATATTATATATTCTTTAGGAAATGAGTAATCTTTCGCCATTTGGGGGTGGTAAAAATCCACCGTGGGTTCGTAATGCAGGTAAATTAAAGTTAATATGTTTTATTGTCGCCCCGTGTGCAAGAAAACAATGTTGCCAAGTTTTCTATCATAATTTACACGAATCGGATGAATGGATTTGTAAAATCATTACTGACAACACCTTTGGCATTATTAACATATTATAAAATAACTTATTAGTTCCTATCTCAAAAAAATCTTTATAAAGAATAAACTTTCATACTTTACTACAATCTTTATTTGTATATAATTACAGTTGCACAGAAAGAGAATTTCTGTTTTTTTTACATTTGAAATGTCCTAGATATACATTAAAATATTTGGAGAGGTTATAGGGTACCTTAAATGGAACAGAAAATGTCGTTATCATCAGATAATTTTTTACTATTGTTTGAACAAAAATCTTAGGTCAAGGATAACATTACTTACTATACATTTATTATAGTTTCACATGCATTATTCGCTACAACTTTAGGGTACTTCAAGATATATAACATTTTTTTGAATAAATAAAATGTTGAAACCACAATTATATTTAGAATGTGTTTGTCCCTTCAGTATTTGTAAAATAATCTCAGTATCATATTGCTACATTTGAGACATTACTACTGCAAACTTGAAGTGGATTAGACATGTTGTTATAAAACATTTTTGGTTCATTCAAGCTTCTCGTACTCATAAAATATTTCAGTATTAATTTAAGTACCCTGTACAAAAATATTATTTAAGTCTGAGTGCTTCATGTAATACAATGTTTTATAAATATATAGCAATCAGAATGTTAGACATATGCATATTTATACATTTTCTACTTGTTGTTGTATGTATTAACTTTAGCATGCCCAGGGGGAATTGTATCTACAGTTTGAAAACTTTTTAAAATAAGAACTACTTTTTCGTATACAAAATTCTCTAGAAATGATTTATTTTTGTACACATTTTTATGTGTTTGATAGTTAATGAATATCATTGTATAAAAAACTGTGGATGAAAAGAAAAAGAAGACAATGGGTTACTTATTATGTCACCTGGTAGCAATCTAAAAAACATATACTAATGAAGTGGATCTTTAATCTTTTCTTATCTTTAACAATTGACAAACAATGGAAGAATGAAGCACCAAATTTACTAATCAAAGGAAAACTCCAGTAATTTTGGTTAGAATTAATTCAAAGAGTGCAAATTAGAAATCAAAATTAGTTTTATAAAACATAAGAGTTTGTCAAGGACAAATCAAATAAAATATAATAGTTTGTAAAAATCAAAACAATGTTGTTCCAAATGCAGAAACCATTCTGTTAATATGGTACTTTGCCATCAGTGTCTAACATCAGAAGAATCAAATTTAGATTAGAAACTAACATTGAACATTAGTAAGATTTGTGTATAGCCAACTTTATTTCATTGTGTAAATATATATAAATAAAAAAAACGTTCAGTTGAAAACAGAATTTCTTTTTTTTTTAAGACTTTATATATTCATTTTTTAAATATTTCTCCTTACAAATAATTTGTTCAGTAGAAACATGTTAAAAGAGAATGGGTTTGAGGAACTCTTGCTTAAATTTTGACACAACAGTTACAAATTCAGGCTTCTTAGTGTTGATTAATTAATGTAATACTATTGTATATCACTATTAAGTAATGCATTAACATTACTGGACAATGTACATAAAAAAATCTTTTTTTCTGCGGTATTTCTCCTTTGAAAGCATTCAAATTGTGCCTTAAATATTTTGCGTATCATTAAAAACGAAGGAGATATTTAAGTGTTTAGGTTTTGATGAGACACTCTATATATTTTTGACATGTGCTGTATTTTTATTTGTATGTAGGTCAGGGAATTCAAAATATTCAGCAACAAATGTTGGGCCAGGCAATGGGTGGTATAGGTGGGCAGCCTATGGTCCAATATCAACAACAAACTCAACAGGTTTATCAACAAAGTTTAGGATTACAACAGGTTGGTATTAAAAGTAAATTATTCTTTTGATAGATCTTTGAATTAATATTGAATTTAATAAATATTTAATATATTTTTTATTTTCATTTTATTGCTCAATATTATTAACATAAAGTATGTTTGTATTTGTGGATAATAATTTATATTAGGTTGTTGCATATTAAATGTCACTTTTATTGATCAGTACATTTAGTTGCAGTCTTATGAATTAACAGTAGTCACCATGTGCATGGTTAGTTAGTGGAGATTAGACTATATTTTTTACAAAGCATTATTTGTTTCTCCACTAGAACTACTTAAGAGTATTTAAAACAAATGGAAATAGATGATGGATTGAGATGAAATCCAGCCAAAATCTCTATGTGTATTCACACTTGCAAATTCTAAGTCAGAATCAAAGATAAACTTCATAAAATTTTATTTAAGGTTTTGGTCTGGATTATTTTTTAACAAAAAAAGGTTTGAGAAGGAATAATACAATTAATGTTTCTTAAAAATTGGTTTCAAAGTTTTTAATTTACTTTATAATCATTACATAATAAATAATCACACTTTAATTAATACAATTCTTTTTAATGTTGAATAAAATAAAATGTATTATTACAAAAAAAGAATATTTCGTATGCAATAACCTAATAATAAAAATTTGTTGAAATTGTTAAAAATATAATGGCGGATCTTCAGTTAATGGCAGAGCCGGAAACGGTTCCGAAAATAATTGTTTCAAACTGTTATATAAAAGTTCTGACTAAAATAGTTATGAAGAATCTAAAATTCAGACTAAATCAGTTTCAATTAAGGTTCTTATATCAGCTCCCATATCAGTTCTATAACCGTTATTTTTAGGTTCTATATAAGTTCCAAAACGGTTAAAGAACCGATTCTCGTAATGATACAGAAAGTACAATGTCTCTCCATGATTCATGCTGTTTTTAAAATAATGTCTGTAAAGCAAATTACTAAGCAGGGTTAGATATTATTTGAATAAAATCATCTTCCTCGATTAGTATTCCTTTTGTTTCTGGGGGAGTATGAACAATACAGTAATTATGGAAACTGCAAACGTCGAGAAAATTGTAGGGCAAGGAGTTAACAATTACTTAAATACACATTTATTATATAATACAGTACTGCTGTCAGTATCTATAGGTAGACTTTCTTGATTTATTACAATGTGGTTATCTCGCAGACAACGTCCTTAGAATGAGAATGTTCTACCAAGAAGAAATGTTATTAAACTATAAAACAATTCTACAAAACTCAAAATTATTTGTTAGTTTAGTTGAAACACTTAACTAAAATAAAACAGTAATTTTAAATGATTTATCTGATCTAGCATAAAGTAAAATTACTTCAATAATTATTTCAAATACTTTTTACCTATGCCTGTTGTTAAGTACATAGTCCTAGGTGACAACAAGAATCATTTAGGAACATTGTATGTAAGAAGTTATTCATACGTATGTTGTAAATGATACATATGTTTTATAAAATAGCCGAATATAACAATGGCATCGATGGCAACACTTGGATCTAACTTGCCATCAGGTATAGCTGGACAGTTATACCCACAAGTTGCTACTGTTTCATACCCAACACCCAGAGCATTAAATACAAATGCATTTCAACCTAATGTAGCTGGTGTTCCTCAACAAGTACAACAAAATGTACCTCCGTCATCCACTAAGCAGAGAGTTTTTACTGGCACAGTGACCCAAGTATATGATAATTTTGGTTTTGTCGACGAAGATGTGTTCTTTCAAACAAAGTAATCGAATTAATATACAAATATGTATACCGTGTCTATAATATAAAATAGTATATTGCATAATGTTATTTCTATTTTAGCGCTTGTGTTAAAGGATCAAATCCAGTTGTGGGTGATCGTGTACTTGTGGAAGCATCATATAATCCATCCATGCCATTTAAATGGAGTGCTACAAGAATACAAGTACTCCCAATGGGGAATAATAATACTAATACACAACAAAGTAATCAAACTACTCGCCAGCAGCAGCAGCAACAACAGCAGCAACCACAGCCACAACAGAGTCGAACCTCAGGAACGTATAATGCAGTTCCTCCTCCTACCGAAAACGCTAATAATAGGTTAATAATAAAAACTTTACTTGAACATACTCTATCTTTAATATAACAGTCTTATAACAAATATGTAAACATTTCTAGATTTGCAACTAGTGCAGCCAATGTTAACACAGTCAGTAATCGTAACAAAGTTGGCAGAGTGAGAGAAAGATCTCCTCGAGAGCGAAAAAATGAAGAGGACGAAATTGAAAGGAAGAGGCGCCGCGAGGAAAGAATTAGAGAGCGTGAGAAAAAGGAAGAACGTAGTCCATCAAGGACCAGAAGAAGTAAATCTCCTAGGCCAAGAAGACGCACTCGGGTTGTACCTCGTTATATGGTACAAATCCCAAAAATAGCACTCGATTTGTAAGTATATTTTTCAATAGAAATGTGGGAGCTATTTAGGGGTTTTCGGATTTTGCTGGGACACCCTGTATTCTTATATCAATATGCATAATATATTCCTAATCACAATTCTATGTTAATCTCTGTTACTTTCAGGCCTGAAGCTGATGTACTCGAAATAAGAAGACGCTATCAGAATATGTATATTCCCAGTGATTTCTTTTCTACCAACTTTCGATGGGTTGATGCCTTCCCACCACATATGCCATTTGCTCTTAATAAACCATGTTCTTTCCATGTCATGCATAAGGATGTTGACCCTTGTACTGAAAATACGGCAGTGCTAGAGCCTTCTGACGCTGATTACATTTTCTCTGCAAAGGTCGGTCTGTCACATTTTACATTAAGTAAATTTGAATTATTCGTAAACCGTTTTCTGCGTCAAATATACACACAGGCTATTCGGCTACTGACGTCAAAAACTTTAAGGGGTGATTCTACATGCTAAAACAAGATGAAAATCGAGAATAATGAAATTGCCTTAACGGCTTCGTTTCCGAATTATAAAATGCCCAAATACGGATGAAATACGATTGATGCGACGGGTTGCGCCTGTGACGCTTCTACCGTCTATTGTTCTGCCTAAGTGGGTTTTTTAGACTGACACGCGCGGCTTTTAAGTAGAATAACCTGTCGCATCAGACATATTTAACCCGTATTTTCAGCAGGTTTTCGTCTTACAATTAGTTTAATATGTACAATCATTCCTTAAAGGTTCTGACACCAGTAACCGAACATCCTGTGCAATCAGTTTTATTAAATTACATGGATTGTCTTTTAGGTTATGTTGATATCCATGCCTGCCATGGAAGAGATATATAAGCGGTGTTGCGGTGTATCCGAAGACAGAGATCCAGATCGTGATTATGTCCACCCAACACGTTTAATAAATTTCTTGGTAGGCTTACGAGGTAAAAATGAAACGATGGCCATTGGTGGGCCATGGAGCCCTTCATTGGATGGTCCTAATCCTGAAAAGGATCCATCAGTTCTAATCAGGACAGCAGTCAGGACTTGTAAAGCGCTTACCGGAATAGATCTGTCCAGCTGTACTCAGTGGTACGACTCTTGAAATATTGACATTCCTTTTTATTTCTACTTGTTCATTCTAATATGAGAAGTACTTAGTCGAAAGAGCAGCGTGATGTTATCTAGATTCTGTGCCCGTTATTCTTCCATTCTTCGTTGATACATTATATTGAGTTAATTCGGCAAAATTTAAATTTTCATCCTTCGTAAAATTTGAAAGTTTTTGATTCGTCGCTTAAGTATTACCGCATAAATGTATGATGTATATGTTTGTGTTAAAGACATTAGATAGAATGTTGTAGTGTTAAGAAAGATCTGGCGGATATATCGACCGTAAGAGAAAGTAACTTCTAATACGAGTTCTGACTTGATAACCTAAGGTTGTAGCTCAATCTCTACAGCGGAGGTATGTATGTGTTTTATACACGACCGACCGATGGAGATTGCTGCACAGGATCCTGTATCGAGCATCCAGACGATGATATACCTCGCAGTTGTGGCAGACAGATCATCACTATTGTTCTGTTATCGTTATGACCTACTCAATCGTGCTTTATCAAATGGTTTTCTACATTGTACGCTGTGTGTGGCTTTGTGCGCAGTGCGTGGGCTTTACGAACAAGCGAGCGAGCGAACGAACACTTAGCATATAAGGCAAAGCTAAGCGGGATTAACCTGAGTTGACGTTTGGGTATTGTTTTTCCTTGCGGCACAGGTACCGCTTCCTGGAACTCTACTACAGACGTGCAGAAACGACCCACAAGTCAGGGCGAGTGGTGCCCTCTCGCGTTGAAACCGTCATACTATTTCTCCCAGATGTTTGGAGCTGTGTACCTACCAGATTGGAATGGGATGATCTGCAACTCAGCTATAAGAAACAACTGGAACGAAAATTGCTACGTGCTGCCTCTAACCCCGACGATTCGGATGCTGCCAATGACACTGATGAGGCTGCCGTCGCTGATCAAAAGGCACTGCCAACATCATCCCATATTACTTTTACCTTTTTATTACATTATATAATCGTACAACTGTTTTCCCATTACTAAACTGGATTTTCAATAGGCTCTATGTACTCATTGATCCTGTTTTAAAGAATTCTTTTTTTTCTGTAGTTCTTCAGTGTTTAAAGTAGCTGATTTAAATAATTTTAATAGTTATCTCAATATGCTTTGCGTCTGAATATTTCAATTTTTATTAATATAGTATGCAATTAGATTACTTTTCGAATATAGTGCTATGAATGATGTGATGATATAACTTCAATTCGAATACTATTATACATATAATTATTGATGTTATCATATATTTGTTTAAAATATAATAATATGATAGTATATAATTCTTATACAGAACACATAAGTTAAAAATTCATTTCTTCTTATGCGTCAAATATTACATACCTTGTAACATAAGAAGCATATAATGGTAGATTATAGCATTTAAATTTAGCTCAGAAAGATCAATGAGTAACGTATTGCGAGTATTCCCTTAGCCACTGGCAGTCACATTGCATTAACAAGAGAAGCAAGCAAGCCTAGCTCGGAGAAGAGCGCAGCTGAGCCATTCCCTTTCCTGAAACCTTCACCATCATTTATTAAATCATTCAAAAATTTCATTTGATAATCGTTATATACAACATTATTGATATTATCCATAACCTATCAACCACACAGACACCTGAGCCAGGACACTATGAGAATCTAGCTGTTACTTAAGTTATACTTGAAGATCATCGTGAATGAAGAATCGTGTATATCATTACAATGTGAGAGAGTGGTGGTAAAATAGAGAGTGATGAAAGAATGAAGAGGGAGTGGTTTCGTTTCGTTATAGGGGCTGCTTCTGTTTTGTAGTTTCCTATCATTTTCTTTAATTCTGTAACGTAATGGCTAATTTCTTCTTTTCAGGATGAGCCCGTGCCCGAGAAAAAGGACCCTACGCATTATTCTGATTTGGATCTAAAATCCATGAATGTCAGTTTCATTTCATTACAAGAACTCATAATTTACTCATAATTCGTTTATTTATAAGTATTATTTCATACAGGTGAATGATCTCAGGCAAGAACTAGCAGCCCGTAATTTAAATTGCAAAGGATTAAAGTCGCAGTTGTTTGCTAGACTTACGAAGGCGGTGGCAACAGAACAGGCTAAAGAGGAAGGGAGGCAAGATGATATCGAAGACAATGAGAAGGATGTTTCACCACCGCCAAAAGAAGAGGATGACAAAAAGTTCAGGGACAATAAAGATGTAAGTTTTATTTGTGAAATACAGTGGCTGTGTGGGTGGTTAAGACACGCGTTTTCCGGACCCCCTTTTTCTTGGGCTTTTGTACTACATTCGGTCCGTTCTAAAAATTACTTTACACTTACTACGACTACAGAATCGACTTCTGTACTGACTGCCTGCAGGCAAATGTTTATTCATTAAATTGTATTATGTATTAATTTCCAGCACGATGAAGAGAGGAAAAAGCTTTGTGAACGTGAACGTATTGCTCTCGAGAAACGGTACACGTTACCGGAATCGTCTCACATTATCGTGCACCCATCCAGAATGGCTAAAAGTGGAAAATTTGATTGTACTGTGATGTCTCTAAGTGTCCTATTGGATTACAGGCCGGAGGATACGAAGGTATTATTAATATCAGCACGTATTAAATCCCCATGTTCTATAAAATAATAATTGTTATCCTCGTCTAGGAGCATTCCTTTGAGGTGTCATTATTTGCGGAACTTTTCAACGAGATGTTGATGAGAGATTTCGGTTTCCGTATTTACCGAGCACTGTGTAACCTTCCTGAGAAGCCTAAAGAAAAAGATGATGACAAGAAAAAGGATAAGAAAGATGATAAGAGGGATGAAAAGAAAGATGACAAAAGAAAAGATGATGAAAAGAAGTGTGTTAGGAAAGATGAACGCAAAGATGACAAGAAAAGAGAAGGAAGTAAAGATAAAAAAGAGGATAAGGATGCAAAGAGTAAGACAGACGATAGAGATCGCGAAAAAGATAAGAATGACGACGACGATGATGATGACGAAGACGAATCCGATGATGACGATTCTGTAAAAGATGGTAGAAAAGATAAAGATAGGGATGGAAGGAAGAGGAAGACGAAATTGTATACACACGATCCCTACCTTCTACTGTCGTTTGTCTACTTTGATCAAACACATTGTGGATACATATTTGATAAAGATATAGAGGAACTTATTTATACTTTAGGATTAAACTTATCGAGAGCTCAAGTTCGTAAGTTAGTACAAAAGGTCGTAACAAGGGACTCTTTGCATTACCGAAAGTTAACTGATAGATCAAAAGAAGATGACCCTAAAGAAGAAAAGAAAGATGAAAAAGAGGCTGACAAAGGTGAATCTTACAAGACAGAGAGTGAAGAAGAGATTCTACGTTCGTTGGCACTTGGTATATAGTTTAAATAGCTTTTAATTCGAATGAAAAATAAATCAATTCAGGTTATTACTAGGGTCATGTATATAGCAGTTTATTCTAGGGACATGACCACAGTAGCAACATAAATGAGAACAGTATCAATATTTTGTCATTCTTTTGTAGGTAATAAAAAACTATTGCCTGTATTTGTTGGAAGCGGACCACCATCAAAAAGGGCACGAAGAGAAAACACAATGTCCGAACAGTTTGAGGAATCAACCATACCTGAAGGTTTCGTCATGTACAAAGGTTCTTTGTTAGATGTAGGAAAACTCGTCAGTCAGTTGAAGAGATCAGAAAAGGCTAGATTGGATACCGAAGAACGTATGATGGAATTACAGCATGAATTAACGGTGGTAAATGAAAAATCCACAAAACAGTCAAATAACAATAAGGTCTTGTCAGAAGACTTGAAAATGTACAAAGACAAATTGAGGAGTACGGATGAAAAACTGAAGAAAACGGCAGTGAGTACTTCTTTAACGTTTCAGTACGATGGAATTCTTTGACAATAAAAGAATTTCATTGAATGATGTGTCTTTCACTTTAAAACACGTAACTTTGTAGTTGACGTGAAAAATAATTTTCAAAACATAATTCTATCACACACTTTCCCTGATTTTATCTCTATTCACGGTCTTCCTTTTAATCTTATATTACATTTTGGATGCGAGCGAGTTGAATGATTACTTTTGCGAATTATTTTGAAAATTATTTAATGTATACATACTTCTTGTTTTGCAGACTGAATGTCATACGTACCTCACTGCGGTAAAGAATATGTATCACATAGCAGCGAAAATGATGCAGGCAGACACAAAAAAGGTAGAGGTAGTGGAAATACAAGATGAAAAAGGTAACGAAGTAAATGGGTCAGAAGTTGAGAATAAATATAAGACAGATACAAGATGGGGGGATAATAAAGTTATAGTAAAAAAGGAAGTTATAGAAACAGATAGGGACAAGAAATGTGACAATAAAGTATCTATTAAAAAGGAAGTCATAGACACTGACAAGGAAAAGAAGTAATAGAAATTGCAGTTTTCATTCATTGTGAAAGACGTAAACGCACCGGTACGAAATTCTAATTATTGTAACAGTGAACAGTTTGACGGAGAACAAAATTTATTATGAAAGTAGAACGACTTCGAAGACTCTGTTTTATAACTTTTTTCACTTGGTAACAATGTGTCTGTACGTATTGTATTCGGAAAAACTTTGGGCGTTCAAGTTTCAATAAGTGATATTGAGTAGTGTAGATATCACAATGATTACACTGCGATTTTTCACATACGTATGTTGACTTTTACGCAGACAGACAAACTCGTAAGAACACCTAAAATCTGACTCTGATCTGCCATCAAGTGCCAGATATGTCGATAGAAGGTGAACACATTTACATTAAACATTGTCATTTGACCAGCAAATAGCTTCGAAATTTATACCGAATTTCTAGATGCATTCAATCATAAATCCATTCGTGGTCACTTTGTATTTTGTTTCTTTGTGTTTCGTTGAATTATTAACTGTAATTTGAATGATTTCTGCTTCAAATTACAAGGTTGCCTATTACTTTGATGAGTTTACTTTACTTGAGTTATAAGGACCATAATTACGATCCTAAAGTGACCTTAAATAAATTTACTTTCTCACGGTCATTAACATTTTTGATGGTAGTAATATGTTTGTATTATGTTGTAACTGTATTTATTGTTTTATACACAGAAGACAGTATAATGAAATAAAACTTTTGCGCAATATTCATATCAATCATAAAAGTAAACGGTGATAACTGATTTAAGGGATATCGTTAGCATTGTTTCTCTCTAACCGTTGTAAATAATTTCAAAATATCTAAGAAAGAAAATCTTCAACACCAAAGTATCTATAGATAATTTAGTTTCATAGTATGAAGCGTAAAATGTTATTTCAAAATTGTAAAAATGATAACACGAAACCACTTGTATAATACGAAATTTTCGTTAATATCCGTTTGAATGAATTTTACAAAGATAAATACATTAGTAACAACTAAACGAAAATATAGAAAGATGAGTGCTCATGATGTCCCTCGTTTAGAATACACTTTGCTCATTATGTGAATATAAAATGTCCTGAATATGCGAAACGAAAAACGCGTTCCTCGAATATTACTCGTTTTATGTTACATTATGACATGTCACGTAATGCTAAGGACAACTATTTTGTACATAATGATCTACAATAAAAGTAGTTTTTGTAGTTTATTATTAGAACATTGCATTCTCGTGAACAAGTCGTTAGTACGTTAGGGACAAATTGTAAAATTGCTTCCTTGGCAAGCAATTCTCTGAACATGTGAAGATATACACAAACAAAATAAATTTTAAACACTTTATGGAATTATTTCTATTTCTTCGTATACACCGTAATTTTTAATACATGGGTACCCGTGTATAAGTAGGTACGTATACATATACGCATGCCCTGAAGACAAAATACATTGTATTCTTGGACTGGTCGTGAGGGTAGCTCTCTTCCCTGCCCCACTCCAATTCCTATTTTAACGAAATAGAATATTCAGTACCATATTACTTACATGTCCGTGCGACCTTTTTTTTTCGCATACCACCTGCGATTAGCTGAACGGGCACTAATTCTCATAAAACGGAAAAACAGACGCACAAGGACGATTTCTCAGACATTTCATTTCGCAGCTTCCGATGGTTATAAATAATATCAGAGCCATATGTTTTGCGCCTCTTGTTGACCAATTCTCGAAAACTTACGTTCCAATGTACCCCTACGACTAATGAATAAATTCAACCGCATACATATCCCTTTTTCTTTTGTCGGGGAGAAACTTTTAGAAGGCGTACCGTCTCTGCTGGGGGAGGGGGGGGGGGCTTTGTGGGATTCTTACCTGACTAAAACTCCTCGGTGATCCACTCGGACTTCAGCATCACCACCCGCGATCTTTCCCAGTCTGCCCCGTCCATATTCCTCCACTTCTGGGGGAGGCAGACCTCATGACGAAGGGGTCTAAGCACCCCCGCGAACGGAGTTTACCCGTCCCTGTTACCGTCCTGTCCTTAGACAGTGTCGAGGGGTTTCCACTTTTATTTTCGTCGAATCATATTAGATACACGTAATATGAATGGAATATACATATATGTGTTCCGTGAGGAATCAAGGAATCGTGAAGATTGGGTGGGGAGATTCTCACGTATGTTCCCTGGACCTCTGGCTGCTGTGTGCGTAAAGTTGCGGATCCGGTATCCGGCACGTCGCAATTCTGCGGTGTTCCTTGAATGGACAACTCGTCCTTCGGCATCTGGGATCGATACACGGTGAGTGATCTATCCTTTTTTGAAATACAGCAGAACAAAATACTTTAAATTTTAAATCATTAAAAATTGAAATTTATTTTAAATAACATTTAATCATAACGAAATGGAAAACGAGATTTAGACGTACATATTTACATAGTTCGCACGTTGTAATGCGTATCGGTTCGCCTGAAATTTTCCCTGCTGTCGGACGAGTCGGGAGTGCAACTTTTGCAACAACACGCTTGATCACCTTGAACACCTCTGAACGCTATTACAACGAATTTCCGTGTTTATTTAAACATTTACCCGGAGAAATCATTAATATTAGTATACCCAGGTATCTCGTATTGGCGTAACTAGGATTTTTGTCTGAGGGGGCCAGCTCCCCCGACATTCTATCAGGCACCTGTATGTATTTTATATCATGTACGTGGGTTGCAGAGAATAAACTTACAGATTTTAAAGTAATTATTTACGTATTTACTTAACACCGAAACTAAGAATAGAAAGATACAAACATAATTCTTATGTTTATGATTATAATTATTATTTTTGTCTGTACACCAAATTTTTTAGGATTTTACAGAATTTCCTACTGTTTCTGTTCCAGGACCTCGAGCATCGCAATGTGGAAATTATTGTTAATACTGGCTCTGACCAGTTATTCTCTGGCTGCGCCTCAGACACAATCAAGCTCATATCTAGATGCCATGATATTGAATGTGTACGGGCTCCCACCCGACAGTCAATCGCCCATCAGTAAGCAACAGCCCGGTGATTTGGACTCTTCGATCTCAACTGTGTTTATGCAGCAGCAGAGTTCAACGACGCCAACCGACATTGGAGTACTGAATCAGCTGAAACCGCAAGCGAAAGACTGCGAATGCGTGCCGTACTACCTTTGTCGCAACGGGACCATCGTGGTCGACGGAGTTGGGATTCTTAGTCCTAAGTTTGATGTGTGAGTTTTTCAAAGACTAGTCCTTAGGGTAGAATCAACGTTGTTTGTATGAAATTTATACACGACTAATAACGATAACTTCTACGTTCAGAACATGAGCGTAGCCTGGTGGAAGGGGGCACGGAAAAAGTGGCTTTTGCCCCATCCTACAAGAAAAAAATTGGATTTTGGCTCCCCCCCCCCATCCTTCCCAAAGTTACAAAGTTTTTGTGTAATATTTAATATTGAATTTTAATTTAAAACATGACCAACAGCCTCTATTAACAAAACGCATACATTTTCAACGATTTATGACTTTCAAAACAGAATAAAGTTTGTCTGGCTACGTACAGCCTCTTTCACTGTGGCAGGCGATTTGTTAATATTGTTGCCCCCCCTGACTGATAACCTGGCCTATCCAGAGATATTGAAAAACACTAGGAGTTTCACACGATTTATCGTCTATCTTGTGATTCTGTGACTATCGAACACTAGAAAATTATAATCTCGTAGAGCACAATGAGACACATAGAACCCAGGTCTCTATTATTCGGTTTAGCTGCACAAAGCAGCTGGACGTCTGCTGTAAACCGCCGGATCAGCTGAAACTTGCAGAAAAAATTATGCCACGGCCCACTCAAAGAAGGGGCTGCGGGCAACGGAACCCTGATGGTATTGGTTTCCGGATCACCGGGTACGACGGCGAGGCTCAATTCGGCGAGTTCCCGTGGATGGTGGCGATCTTGATGGACCAGACGAACGGATTCGGTACTCAGGAGCAGTTGAAGTTCAAGTGCGGTGGTTCTCTGATCCATGTACAGGTCGTATTGACAGCTGCTCATTGCGTCCGAGGGTACGGTTTCTTCCTGAATAACTTGTATTCGTTGCACATTGTGGAATAATCATCTTGATAATTGTCCATTAAATAGGAAACAACTGCACGAAATAAAAATTCGAGCGGGTGAATGGGACACGCAGATAGTGAACGAGGTCTTACCGTATCAAGAGCGCAATGTGGAAAAGGTGATCGTCCATGAGAAATATCACGCCGGTGCTCTTTACAACGATGTCGCTCTGTTGATCTTATCCGAGCCAGTTGAACTCGCGGGAAATGTTGATACCATATGCCTGCCAGAATATAATACCGTCTACAATGGACTTCAATGCTTGGCCAGCGGCTGGGGAAAAGATAAATTCGGTAAGTAGATTTAGATTCAATTCGTTTAATTGTGAAACCAGCTGCTCCGTTTGTTGTCCATTTGGAATATATTCGTTAGTCGCCCTGATCGGAGGCTAATTGATGGAACAACAGGCTTCCACTCGAAATTCGCCGTTTATGGTTCCTCGAGTACGTGACTCTAATGATCGTTCCAGGTAAAGAGGGCCTCTACCAGATAATCCTGAAGAAAATTGAATTGCCGATCGTTCCACACGATAGATGCCAAAGTTCTTTACGCGAAACCAGATTAGGAAAACATTTCCTTCTTCACGAGAGTTTCGTCTGCGCCGGTGGAGAGCCTGGCAAAGACACTTGCGATGTATTACAATAGCTTAAGTCCTTTAAAAATTTTATACACACGCATGGTATTATACTTCATATGTGATGTATGAATTTGCTTCTTCAGGGTGATGGAGGAAGTCCTTTGATGTGCCCGAGTAGAAACGATCCCAGCAGGTACGAGCAAGTGGGCATCGTAGCATGGGGAATCGATTGCGGTCAGAACAGTGCTCCAGGTGTTTACGCTAATGTTGCTTATTTACGCAACTGGATCGACGATCAAATGGCTTATAATAATCTGGACAATACCGTTTACAATATTTAACTTAAGAATAGACTGAGTAATTTTGTATGTTGAGACTTTTGGGTGTAAGCCGTGCCCTTGTGGAATTGTTTTCCCCAGATTTCGCAGTTAGCTTCATCAGGGGATCAAAAGACACACTGATACTGATCCAGTAAACAATTCCACAAGGACCCGGGTTACACCCGAAAGCTTCAACGGTGAGAACTGCATGATGCCGGGCCGTAAAAGCCTCAAATCTCTGATTAGCATTATTTTTATTTCGCAACTCGTAACGGTATACAGACTGTCCCAATATAGTTGTAAGTCCTTGAAAGGGATGATTTGAAACAACTTTTTCCTTGGCGAAAAAGTTGTCCGAGGCTTTGTTAATGAGATATTAACGAAAAATCCCGACCAATCAACATCAAACAAGTACAGTAGATGCCGGTATTGCAGATTCCTAGGGTCACGAACCGTCCCGTACAGTGCCGAGTCTATTTTTATATATACAGCAGACATTCGTTTATTGCATCATTCGGGGCTGTAGAGGTTCAAATTTCCAGGAATTATACAATAAACGAGGGCCAATCAATGTGATGGCCAAATACATATGAGCGAGTGGCGTTCCCAAGATACAATAAAGGGGCCTACATTACACGAATATCTACTGTATACAAAAGGAGAAATTTTACTAATGATCAATAATCAAGTCTAGAATTATTCTACTTCTAAGGAATAAGTGAACGAACAATCAACAGGAAGTGCACGCGTGTAATTTGGACCTCGCTTATCGTAACATGTCTGAATTTAACTCCTACAGCCCCAAAGGATGCAATAAACGAATGCCTGCTGTAAATAATATTCTTTTAATCAAAATGTCTCAATACTAGGTCACTCTGTGAATAAACGTTTTTTGATATCTCTAATAACGACGGATATAATTATGGTGATCAAAAAGTGCGTACATCCAGCCTACCCTATAGCTAGCTACACATCGAACAAGAGAACGGATGATCGACGGGGAGAGTGCGTACGTGTGATTGGAGCTTGCTTAATGTAGTATTTAACCCTCTGCAGTCCCAAACAGTGCATTAAACGAACGTGTCATCTTGTATATCCTATTCCTGCTAACAATACCTAAAATTGGGGGTTGTCGGTAAAATTGGTGGCCACAGTGAAATGGAACAGATGGGTTGGGTATCGGAGGAGCCTTCATTGACTATGACTACAGATGAGATATAAGAATAGACCTAACATCTTATGGGACTTTGTGTCCCACGAAAATCACGCTGATTCGAGCGCACTCTACGTAAAAGTTTCTGACTTTAGGAACTACGTTAGACACCATGTAACCGAAGTGTCATTCGTTTCGAAGAAATTGACGCGATACGACGCAGAAGTCGTTTGCTCGTGCCAAAGTGAGTGTTTGACAATTACCTTTCATCTTTATTCATGTATATTAATTATTAGTACCTTCATTAGGTCTCTATCGTCACTATCCTTTAATATTTGTACCATGTAAGATGTAGATATGGTAATCAAGTTTTACAAGGAAATTATTTGTATTTTATCACAAATGATAAAACAATAATCCTGTCTTAGTATTCGCGAGAGATATTAAATATTAATTATTTTATTTAAATGAGTTTAACTATGTTTTGTGCATAAGTATCGAACAAATTTGTTAGAAAGTAAGAATTTTTCGATCGGCTTTCGATTGTTATCAATCTTGACATTGGCTTCGTCTACAAGAATGAGAGATATGTTAGTTTCCCAGATCACGCTTCCCATCAAGTGAAATCTGAATAAATTTAGTATTCTCTATAAACATGTTAACGGACACTTGATAAGTTATCTTCTAGATAAGTGACAAAATACATATGTATATATTTGTGGTGTTATGTTTTTCAAGTGTTACATTCGGCTTTTAAACTGGAGTAGTGCACATGTTTTTTCCCGCCAAGTCGATTAGGCGGGAAGCTACCGCTCTGACCTGACCAATCAGCTACTCGCAATCCCCCGAAGATAGCCGAATGAACTGCTCGAGACCGGCCGAGTGTAACCGAAGTGTCATTCGTCTCGGAGAAGTTGACGCAATAAGACGTAGAAGCCGTTTGCTCGTGCTAAAGTGAGTGTTTGACATTTACTTTTCATCTTTATTCATATATATTAATTACTAGTACCTTCATTAGCTCTCTATCGTTACTGTCCTATAATGTTTATTCAATATAGACTAAATAATCCCAAATTAATTCGATATTGTAGGTATCGCTCTACTTTTCGGTTTCACTGTGTACCAATTAATATAATGTTTACGTATTTCTGACTCAATTTCAAATCTTTGCGACACACTACGAGTTCAATAATTGTTCATTTGTAACGTATCTATTCTTAACGTCGTGTAATTACTTAAAATGCATGTTTATTTTCTGTTTCAGAGTTTCGGCTTGGAAGTACGTACTACCGTCCTGAGTATCGTTGAGTCCCTTCAAACGGAATTCAGCGGGAAATTGGTGAATTCTGGTAAGTTATTGTAACATTTATTATAACATTTATTATAACAACAAAGTGACACTTCATTACTTACTTTTATATTGTTTTTAACCATAAGTGAAATAATCGTGATTTCGTAGTTTGTGTTAAGATCAAATGAGAATTTTTTCGAGCACTTTTCAATTCATATATTTAGTTGAAGCATTCAAAATGGCTTCCTTGAATGTTAAAAAATTTAAACGACAATACTTCGAGACATTCAAATTGGAAATGTTTGTGATTTACTGTATCTCGGTCGTGAAATCGTATTAAAATAAACAATTTCTCGTGTCTTTCCGTATGACATTATTGTATTTGCATTTATATACAGTTTCGGATATAAATTTGATTAATACAAGCTGTATAGTTTATCATGCTTTGTATCAAAGTATGCATAACTAATGCAATTGTGGTACTTGTAAGGATTTTCTGAATATGTACAAAAGCAGGATGTGGATTAAATAAAAAAACAAACATTCTTATAGCATAGTTATGTATTATGCTACAACATAATACATAAATATTATAAACTAAATAATTAGCGTGTAACATTTATCAATAATAATAATATTGAGTATAATAAATTTGTCTTGTCTTTTTGTTTTTAGTCAAACACTAAAACGGACATCCTACTGTGAAGTTCCACCAGCAATGACTGCAGGCCCTTCTATCATCGGGTGAGTCTTTGCATGCCTTTTTTATTCCTCCAGTGCCTAATCATGTCATAGGACAATTAGTCCAACATGGCACTGGCAACTGGTTGTATATATACTAAATTTGGCGAATACAGTGAACGTGGGTATGCTATCATACCTTCGAGTAGTAACATTGATCAATTGTATTTCTTAGCTAGGGTAGAGTCTTCTTATACATAACATTTTCTACTACTGATACAATTGATAAACATTTTATAATTGGACAAAGCACTATTAATACTCTTAATATTCAATGCGTATCCATAAGTGCATTGTATATATGAATCTCTGTAGGCTATAATATATTGAATACATATATGATGAATGAAACGTTAGTGGAGGAATGTGACAACCTCAGACTTCCTCCTTGCACTAACCAATATAATGACACAATGATAGTACAGAATGATATCCAATGAGAATATCATTGAATAGCTTGATCTAATTTCATATTTTGCACGATTGAAAAATTTGATACTTTGCATTAAAAAAAAGTGTTCCATACACACATTATATTAGAGATCATGTATAAGAAGACATTTTGCGATGAGTAGGTTTTTGAGTCAAAGTAACATGTTTGCTAGACTTATGTTATATGTCTTGCAATGGCTTTGACAATGGGATCACCCGTGGGTTGTTCAATATGTAGAGTCAAATATCTTATTAAAGAATCATTATTAGTCTTTTTGTCTATAAAAATGAATTTCCAGTAGGGTCTTTTTCTTAATGACTGAATTCTATTAAATTAATAAGTATCTTCTATATAAAGAATTAAAGAATATTAACGTGTTAAAAGAGTAGTAACTAATAATTTTTTTTGTCAGGATTTTCAGGATAATGTCGTCCAGCAAAGCTCACATTCATCACTGAGTGCTCAATAAGATGTCCACGGGCAAAGCTCCACTTGATTCAAGATTCTTGTCTTACACGGAGTCCTTCTATCATCGGGTGAGTCGCATGCTTTTTTATTCCTCTGGTCCCCAATCATGCCGTAGGACGATAGGTCCGAAACGGCACGGGCGACTGGTTGTATACGTGCTAAATTTGGCGAGTACAGTGAACGCGGATATGCAATCATATCCGCGAGTAGTAACATTGATCTGTTGTGTTCCTTAGCTAGGCTAGGGTCTTCTTGTATGCCATGTTTATAATTAGTAATGTAATATTTCAATGTCGTCGTCTGGTATCATTTATAAATGTAGAATGGAATATTCCTGTCAAATCATATGTAGATACACGCAATATGAATGGAATATATAACACTTCATTTGTGCTAATAATACTCAGAATTCATGCCTTATCGGTAACGTCGGGTATTGACACTAAAATGGTAAGGGGGCTTCTGACGCCCTCGAAGCATGCGACAGAAAATTATATTGCATGTTAGGTCTATTCATATATCTCGTCTGTGCTATGAGACGAAAATACGTTACCTGTTTGGTCTATCCTATACCTTGTCCGTGGTACATTGTACGCGTTGTTCGTATCGATTAAAGGGGTGAGGCGCGAAATGTTACGCGGGCCTGAAGAGAGGCGCCAGAATCTTCTCGGACACGGCTGGAACATCGTTGCGGTTGACGATCATGTCATATCTTCGCGTTTCGTTGCAAATCAGGGTATACACCTAACCGACGCGCAAACCCGTCTTCCCATCCGGTTCTCCTGAAACACTTCACCAGCCGGACAATAGTTTACCGTATCGACCTATTCGCCCCTTCTCTCTCCGCGAACGGCCTCTACCCTCGTTCCCATCTACCTTCTCGTACCACCCCGCGTCGAGCCAACCACGAACTTGCTCTTCTGGCCTTCCCTTCC